TATGTGCATGTCTGTATGTATGTCTGCGTGGGGGCATGCTCCGTACTCTATAACCGAAGGTTAAGGAAGAGTTTACTGCATCTCTTAAGTCCATCCCCATATCCGGGCTTGGGAGTTCAAGGTTTAGGTATCTGAGCCGCCCAGTGTCAATGCGAGCCTGCAACATAATACTTGAGCCCGAAGCACACGGAATCTGAAAACCTGAGCCCGAAACCACAAACTGCCATAAGCCCTGTCATCCTTGAGTCCAAAGCCGGAATCATTCAACTCTGGGCAAAGACATCCCAATGTAGGGGCCTTTATAATTAGAACAGGGTTTCGGGCCCCATGATAGTATAGTTATAAAAAGGAAACCCCCCCAAAAAAATAGTATTGGTAATTATTTAGGCTTCTATATTACCCTAAACCCTGAACCCTAAAAAGTCTTGCCAAGGGGGGCTCGAGGTGAGGCTGAGACTCCTTCCAAGACATTCTCTGGGTTGTTTCCCACCGGTTTAGGAGCTTATAGGTTTGGGAGTTTAAGTGCCCCAGCTGGCGTGTTTGCATAATTTAATACTGAAAGCAAAATGCAAGCATGCATAAATGACTGTGCTGATGACCCAAGCATGTCCGCAAACTACAGAGTTGGCTAGGTTGAACCCACATAAGCTCTATGTAGATGTGCATACCTGTAGCCTGGCAGTCTTGGGGGAGATAACGGGATAAGAGTCCTAGAGTTTTGGGGTTTAAGCAGAATTTCAGGGTTTAGGGCTTTAGAGCTTAGGTTTTTAGGGTCTGGGCAAAGTTTAGGGGTTTAGGGCATGATGAGTCTGTGAGGGTGTGCAGCTGGCCTCCAAGAAGGGCAGCTAGCCGTGGCGGCAAGTGATGTCAGCATCAAGCCTTTCCACTTCGTCAACATATAGGGTACTTGCTCCCTAAACCGTAAATTCCGTAAATGCTAAATGCAAAACCCTGAACCCTGCTAAAGCTTAGAACCTCAGCCCTAAAGCTCACCTCGACTCAAGCCAGGTACCGCGAGAGCGGCAAACAGAGAGAGCGAGAGGTTACGATTTTACGAGCTGTTGGGATTGTGCTTCAGAGTTGAGGGTTTAGGGTTTCCCTAAACCCGAAACCCTAAAGCCTAAACTTTAGGGTTTGTGCTTCAGAGTTAAGGGTTTAGGGGAATGTGTCAACAAGGGGGGTGACGGACTGGAGACAGAAGGCCCACACATCCGAACTTAGTGCGGCTGCTTTTTGCCGCCTTTTACTCCTGGAGCTGTAGCCCTAAGGGTTCATGTGCCCAAATAGTATATACTTTGGCCTTAATGTAGTCCCTATTTGGGTACTTTGGGGCCAATGTATGTACTATATGAGCACATGGACCCTTAGGGTAGGGTTTAGGGTTTAGGGATTAGTGTTTTAAGCCCTTGCCTTCTAGGCCGACATGGCAAGCTGGGAACCGCTCCAACGTGCACACTCTGTTTCAGCTCCGATGCACGCGGAAGTCTGGTACGTACCACTCTCTCCAGTGCCCGATTGGGTCGGGATAACAACACCTACATATAGTATCACTATAAGTATCATGCGGAACCCTAAAACAGGTAAAGCTGCTAATTAATCCGGCCCCCCGTTAGTAGGTTGGGAGCTATGATTAGGGGGACCCTTGGGGATATAGACCCTCTCAATAAGGTCCCGTTTAAGAGAGCCAAAAGTAAGGTTCAGAAGGGGTACCCTTTAAGGGGTACCCCTAATAATGCTACCTATAGGTTGTTGTGCGTGGGTTTCGCCCTCATCGCGAACCCAGGCCCCGGCTTTGACCAATGCCCAGACCACCTGCGCGTGGCCTGCCTTTGTCGCATGGGTGAGGGCTGCGTTCCCGTCCTCATCCCGGGCCTCCGGTGAGGGTTTAGGGTTTATAGGATTTAGGATTTAAGGTTTAGGCTTTAGGGCTTAGGGTTTAGGGTTTATAGGATTTAGGGTTTAGGGTTTAGGGTTTAAGGTTTAGGGTTTAGGGTTTACTGTGGGGTTTAAAGGTTCATCCCGGGCCTCCAACTCTGCTCTGGCCTTCACCAACGCCTCGGCCACCTTCAGGTGGCCTTTGTTTGCAGCGAACATGAGAGCTGTGAGCCCATTATCACTGCGGGCCTGTAGCTGCGCTCTGGCCTGCAGCAATGTCTCGGCCACATTCAAGTTGCCTTTGGTTGCAGCGAACATGAGGGCTGTGAAACCATTCTCGCTGTGGGCCTCTAGCTGGGCTCCAGCTTTTCGAAGCGTCTCGACCATCTCCAGATGGCCGTTGGCTGCAGCATGCATAACGGCTGTGGTGCCTTTCTCATTGCGGGACTCCAGCTGGGCCCTTGCCTTCAGCAAAGGCTCAACCAATTCCAGGTGTCCTTCGATTGCCGCGCAAGTGAGAGCTGTGTTGCCGTGCCTGTCCGGAGCGTTAGGATCTGAATGTCTAAACCCCAAACCCTAAACCCTAAACCCTATGTGTTGCCGTGCCTGTCCGGAGCGTTAGGATCAGCATTCTGGTGGAGGAGCTGCTCCACCCGATGCAGCCTGGCTGGGCCGTCGAGCTTGGGAATCCCATGCTCCGCTTCCCGGCGGAAGTCTGCCATGGCCTTCATGTGCAGAGCATAATAGAAGTCTCCCAGCTTGTGGGCCTTGTTCCTCTTGGCTGACTTCTGAACCCCTCCAAAAAGTTACACTTTTAGTCTTCTTATTATAGTTATATAGAAACCCAAAAAGTTAAAGTCCTAAGAGCCAACCAGAAGAACACCAAGTCCTGGTCTCCGGATTGTTCCACAGCCACCCCATCAGCTTGTGGGCAGCCCTCTGTTCCTCAAAGAACTTGGGACATGCCTTTGCAGTGACTGCCAGGCGAGGGCTCGCGACCTCGCAGGGAAGGGGTGGGGCTACGGCCATCGAATTTAGCATCTAGGGTTTCCGGGAGTTGAGGGCGCAGGCTTGCTTTCATGGATACTATGAGCTATTTAAGGGATTCTGTTTCCGTACGGGTTTCTAAAACCCCCAACCCTAAACCCTAAAACCTTTAACCCTAAATCCTAAACCCTAAACCCTAAACCCTAAAACCTTAACCCTAAACCCTAAACCCTAAAACCTTAACCCTAAACCCTAAACCAGCTCTTGGGCAACATTTTGGGCTCCGGATTTCGGGTTACCCCCTGCCTGGCGGAGCTCCTGGTCTTTCAGGTCCTGCTCCTCCTTGGCCTGATTTAGGGCTGAGGGTTTTATAGGGTTTAGGGTTTTATAGGTTTTAGGGCTTTATAGGGTTTAGTGTTTAGGGTTTTATAGGATTTAGGGCTTAGGGTTTTATAGGGTTTAGGGTTTAGGGCTTATAGGGTTTAGGGGTTTATAGGGTTTAGGGTTTAGGGCCTGAGTAGCGGGGAGTTTAGGGTTTAGGGTTTAGGGGGAGATCGGTCAATGTAGCCGACCTACCAGGCCCCAATTCCGAATCCCTTAAACCCTTTAACCCTAATACCCTTAACCCTAGTACCCTTAAGCCCTAAATCCTAGGACTCAAACCCTAAACCGTTTAACCCTAAAGCCTAAACCCTAAACTACTAGAATGAGGTTCCTTTGACCGCCCGTTGGTTTAGGCATAGAAGCCAGAAGCCCTAATCAAGCAAAGCGGGCCTGGGGGGGGTACAGTAAAGGATAGATGTGTTCAGGAACCCGACGGAACAGCTTGAACCGTCCCATCCATTGCTAAAGCCCACCAGGTTAACCGGCTAATGTTGAATAATGTTTGCAGGGCCCGGGACCTAAACCCTAAACCCTAAACCCTAAACCCTAAACCCTAAACCCTAAACCCTAAAGCGGCAAAAAAAGGCACAGTACAATTGCAACCTCTGAGGCGGACCTTGGGGCCACGTAAGTGTAGCTGGTCCGAAGATAAGGAACCCAGAACTAATTTCTTAATTACTGGGTTTAGGGTTTAGGGTTTAGGGTTTAGGGTTTAGGGTTTAGGGTTTAGGGTGTAGGGTTTAGGGTTTACTGCATCGAAACTCTATCTATCTTTCTTTCTTTCTCTCTCTCTCTCGCAACGTTTAGATTAGAATTGATCACAGCATCTGAAACTCGACGATTACCGGCACGAGTGTGTACCAGAACATGTGGATGACCTTTCGTTGTCAAACGCTCCCCTTCCCACAAGCTCTCTCAGGACTGCAAGAATTTCCGCCAGCATGGGCCGCAGGAACGGAAGACTGCAGGAAATGCCCGGAAATTGCAGGCTGCAAGAGCCGTGCTAAACCCAAAGCCCTAAACCTTAA